TAGAAGGGATAAAAGAGGTAGCCATGAGACAGTCATGAAAGCCTAAAAGAGACATACATCCCTGACACCAAATGGGTGACAGAAATTACACAAGTTAGAGAAAGAAGAAAAGCAAAGATGAAGAAGCTTCTGTTGGATGGTCTTAATATTCTTACTCTTATCAAAAAAAAAAAAAAGTAAAACAACTTACAAAGTCTGAGAGTGGGAACCAGAAAGAGATAGAAAAGGTCTGAAATAGCCCCTGCAGGAAGTAGAAAAGAATTATCAATCAACATAAGCAACTATGTTACAGCTTTTTTGTTTGTTTTTTTGAGATAGGGTTTCCCTCTGCTGCTTGGGCTAGAGTGCAGTGACAACATCACAGCTCACTGAAACCTCAAACTCTTGGAACTCCTGGGCTCAAGTGATCCTCCTGCCTCAGCCTCCTGAGTAGCTGGGACTACAGGTGCACACTACAAAGCCTGCCAAATTTTTTTATATTTTGTATAGATGGGGTTTTGCTATATTGCCCAGGCTGGTACTTTAGAGCACATTTTCTAATTCAATATTCATCTCATTTACACTTAACTAGTAGAAAGATACAAATTTTTTTAGTTTATTTGATCTGATTATTATTCTTTTTTTAAAGACAGCCTTCTATATCTGATCTGAGGTAATGCTGTTCTGTATGTTTTCTTTTTTCATTGTTTATTGCCCTATCTACTCTTTGCTATGTTATAAAACTTTTAGATTAATCATTCTTATTACTTTAATGTTGTTCTAGTCTTGCTCTGATGCTTTGCATAAACATCAAAGTAGTATATGATTACTCAAGAAATCCTCAATACTTATTTTCTTAAAGACTAGTATTTGAGAGACTATATAAAGAATAGGAATTCTAGGCTGGGCACAGTGGCTTGTGCCTGTAATCTCAGCACTATAGGAGGATAAGGTAGGATGATTGCTTGAGGCCAGGAATCTGAGACTAGCCTGGGCAACATGGTGAAGCACTGCCTCTACAAAAAATAAAAAAATTTAAAAAGTTAGTAAGGCATGATGGCACATACCTGTAGTCCCATCAACTCAGGAGGCTGAGGCAGGAGGATTGTCATTAGCCCAGGCATTAGAGGTTACAGTGAGCTGTGATCAGGCCAATGCACTCCAGCCTGGGCAAAAGAATGAGACTCTGCCTCTTAAAAACAAAAATAGGAATTCTAAACCTAGAAATGGCTATATCTACTGATAGCTGCTCATTTATTAGTATGACTAAAAATAAAAATTTCCCAGGAAAATATAAATGATCATCATCTTTTAATGATGATCTTTAATCTTTTGAAGCTTCGGAAGTTGTAGAAAGAGGTGTCTCTTTTCCTTTACATTGACATTTTTCTAATTATACAATTCATATGTAGGTATTCATATGTAGGTATCAGTGGGACATTTTAAAATAAATATGATATAGCATATATTTAAAAGAACATTCTAGGCCGGGTACAGTGGCTCACACCTATAATCCCAGCACTTTGTGAGGATCACTTGAGGCCAGGAGTTTGAGACCAGCCTGGACAACATAATGAGACCTTAGTTCTACAGATTTTTTTTTTTAATTAGCTAGATGTGGTGGCACGCACCTGTAGTCCTAGCTACTCACAAGGCTGAGGCAGGAGGATAGCTTTAGCCCAAGAGTTCGAAGCTACAATGAGCTATGATCACACCACTGTACTCAAGCCTTAGTGAGAGAGTAAGACCCTGTCGAAAGAAAGAAAAGAAAGAGGAAGAAAGGAGGGAAGGAAGGAGAGGAAGAGAAGAGGAAGAAGAAGGAGAGAGAGGGAGGAAAGGAGGGAGGAAAGAAAGAAAAGGAAAGAAGGAAAGAAAAGAACATTCTTGCTGTAAGAACAGTCACATCAGAAAGCTCTATACTTATTCCTAGAATGCTGCCACGCATGAAAAGCTTTAGGATTCACCATCTGAAATTGCTTTAAAGTCTTAACACAATTTTTATAATATTGTCAGAAGTGACAAATCTTCATACATTAAATATAGGTTTGATTTAGGGATATTTCTTGTTATCATAAAGTGGTTTACCTAAATCAGAAATACCACTTTTGAACAAAAAGAATGACTATAACACATGAAACAAATTTTCTCATGCTATTATAATAATACCATCATTAAAAAATATATATAGCTACATTCCCCTCCTCCACAGTGCCTGCTCCATGGGTTACCACTCATATACTCCAGTATGTTGGGTAAAAATAAAATTCAATCATTTTATAGCCATACTTCCTAGTATTATAGGAAATACAAGGAGCCCTGAAGGTTTCTAAGAGTCAAATTTTTGAATATTTGAAAGTAGTTACAGCACTCCGATTTTTAAATTTAGCTAGTTGTTATTCAATTCCTTTTCTTTTTTTATAATATACTGAAAATGAACATTACCCTTTGGCATACACCTGATACCAGCCTACTCAATCAGTTGTCTACTCCTGTTACAAATACACACATATACACATGCACAAAGGCACATAGCTGTTTTTTAATCTCCTATATATGCATTTTTTCCTAGTTTGTAACCTCAATGTTATCTGTCAGCTTTGCCTCTAGGACAATCTTCCCAATGGTAGCCATACGTTTCCTTTCATTCTTTGTGGGGGTTTTTTTGTTTTTTTGTTTTTTTGTGTGTGGAGACAGGGTCTCACTATGTCACCCAGGCTGGTCTCAAACTCCTGACCTCAAATGATCCTCCTGCCTCAGCCTCCCAAAGTGCTAGGATTACAGAAATGAGCCACCACACCCAGCCTGTTCTTTGCAAAAAAATCTAATCTCAGTTGACTACCTTAAGTCCAGCTTGGCACAAACTTAACAAACTTCACTAAAATTATTCCACCCCATCTTCTACCCCCAAAATAAAAAAAACTAAAACAGCATAGTCTTTTTCTTATCTTTATAACAAGATTCAACCACTTTTGAAGCTCTACATCAAAGAATTATTCAAATATGCCCTTATTCTCTTCAAAAATATTTATTTTTAACTCAGCATTTAAGATTATCCCTATTTTAAAAAAAAAAGAAAGAAAAAAAAAAAGATTATCCCTATTTTCAGAGTTGTACACATGAACTAAGAAATGCCCAAGAAAACATTCAATTACCCCTCTTGATTCTTCCAGTCAAATTCTTCCAAATTTGTTCACTGCTGAATCATCAATTAGACAGTGTCTTAATCTGTTTGGACTGCTATAACAAAAGGACTTAGACTAGGTAATTTATAAACAACAGAAATTCATTGCTTATAGTTCCGGAGACTAGGAAGTCCAAGATCAAGGCTCCAGCAGATTCAGCATCTGGTGAGGACTTGGTCTGCTTCATAAATGGCACCTTCTCAGTGTGTCCTCACATGGCAAAAGGGGACCCCCTCAAGCCTCTTTTATAAGGGCACTAATCTCATTCCTGAGGGCTCTGTCCTCATGACCTAATCACCTTCCAAAAGCCCCACCTCTTAAAGCAATGAAGGTAGGGGGTTATGTTTTAATATATGAATTTAGGGGGGAGGGACACAAACATTCAAACCACAGCAGACATAATCCTAATTTTTTATCCAGGGGGAAAAAAAAAAAAAAGCAACACAGTGACTATATTTAAGGGGAAGAGTTAAGGTATTTTCTAGAAAAAGGTCAGTGAATGTCTATTTAGCTGTGAAAATTGGAATATAAGAAAGTCAAAATAATTCATTTTATGAAGAACGAACCAGAGACTGAAAGGGGACAAGTGGCTTACCCAAGTTTATACATTCAATACCAGACCCAACACTAGTATCCAAGTCTCCTGATTCCAAGTTCAAAGCTTTTCTACTTTATCTATTCATTGAAATTACTAAACACGATCATGCTAAATGAAAGGAGAAAGACAAAAAAGACTATATATTGTATGATTCTGTTAATGTCAAACTTCAAGAAATAGCAAAACTATAGAGACAAAAAATAGATCAATGGTTGCCTAGGGCTGGGGATAGGAGCAGGGATTGACTGCAAATGGGCAAGAGGGAGTGTTGCACAACTCTATAAACTTACTAAAACTTGAACTGTGAATTTTATGGTATATAAATTATATTTCATTAAAGCTATTTTAAGAATTATAAGAAGGAATTCAGTATAGAAGGAACTCAAACAACTCAACAGCAAGAAAATAAATGACCCAATTAAAAAGTGGGCAAAAGACCTACATAGACATTTGTCAAAAGAAGACATATAAATGAACAACGGGTATATGAAAAAATACTCATTGACCATCAGAAAAATGTAAATCAAAACCACAGTTAGATACTATCTCACACCTGTCAGAATGGTTATTCACATAAAGACAAAAGGTAAGTGTTGAGAATATGGAGGAAAGGGAATCCTTGCATACTGTTAGTAGGAACATAAAGTGATACAGCCATTATGGAAAACAGAGTGGAGATTCCTGAAAAATTTAAAAATAGAACTACCATATGCTCCAGCAATGCCATTCTGGGTATACATCAAAAGGAAATGAAATCAGTATGTCAAAGAAATATCTGTACTCCCATGTTCATTCAAGCATCATTTGCAATAGCTAAGATATGAAATCAACCTAAGTGTCCATCAATGGATGAATGGGTAAAGAAATTCTCATATATGTATGTGTGTATATATGCATATATATACAATATATATACACATACAATGGAATCTTACTTAGCCTTAAAAAAAAGAAGAAAATTCTATTGGAGTTAAAAATATACCATTCCAATATATTGACTATCTTGAGTTAAAGGCACTTGAAGAAGAGCAGGTGTAAGATCACACTGACCTCCTTTCTGTTTTAAAAGCAGATGAAATTCCCATGTGAAAGAGGCCTTTCCTATACTAAAAGGAAAGCAATATTTTTATCATCAAGGACAGAAAGTTCAGACCAGAAGAATTCTGTACAGACTGTGTTAAAATAACTCTTATCTTCTTTCAAGCTTCACCATATAAATTAGTTGTTTTTTCACAACTTACTATTCTTTGTCCAATTCAGTATGTAAGTGTTCAACTCTGTGTCTTTGGGTCTTCATTTCCTTATGAGGGGTCCTGCATCATAAAAAACTTGTATTAAATAAATGTATATGCTTTTCTCCTGATGATCTATCTTACGTTAATTTAATTCTCAGGCCCAGCCAGAAAAACCCTAAAAAAAGAGTGGAGGTCAAGTTTGCCTCCCCAGTACACTGTTATTTGCAATAACATGGATGAACCTGGAGGACATCAGGCTAAATGAAATAAGCCAGAAGCAAAAAGACAAATACAGGTACTGCATGATCTCACTTACATGTAGAATCTAAAAAGTTGAACTCATAAAAGCAGAGAGAACAGAATGGTGGTTTCCAGGGGCTGGGGACTGGAGGAAATGGGAAGATGTTGGTCAAAGGGTACAAAGTTTCACTTATGCAGGATAAGTAAGTTCAGGAGATAGTAATGTACAGTACAGTAACTATACTTAATAGTACTGTATTATATACTTGAAATTTGCTAAGAAAGTAACTCTTAAATTTCTCACCACAAAAAAAATAGTAACTATGTGAATTGATTGATATATGTTAATTAGCTTCATTATAGTAATCATTTCATAATGTATACATATAATAAAACATCAAGTTGTACACCTTAAATATATGTAATTTTCATTTGCCAATTGTACCTCAATAAAACTCAAGGGAAGCAAAACATTTCACCTAAACATTTCACCTAAAAAAAAAAACTCTTCAGATTTTAGCTTTAAACCCATAGAGTTTTCAGGGCTTAAAACTATAGCTGACCCTTGAACAATACAGGTGTAAACTGCACAGGTCCATTCATGTGAATTTTTTTCAATAAATATACTGGAAATTTTTTGGAGATCTATGACAATGTGAAAAAACTCAGACAAACTGTATAGTCTAGAAATATCAAAAAAATTAAGAAAAAGATATCAATGCATAAAATATGTATAGATACTAGTCTATTTTATCATTTACTATCATAAATATATATAAATCTATTTTTAAAAGTTAAAATTTATCAAAACTTATACACATAAGTACTTACAGATCATACATTGTACCATTCACAGTCAAAAGAAATGTAAAGAAACATAAAGATACATATTAAATCATAACTGCATAAAATTAACTGCAGTATTTACATACTATATACTACTGTAATAATTTCATAGCCACCTCTTGTTGCTAATGCACTAAGCTCAAGTGTTATATCTGCTTAAAACATCGTGTGACGTTAATCATCTCTGAGAGAGCAGTTCATCTCTCCAGTAAATTCATATCCCAGTAAAAACTGATCTCTTGGGGTTCTTGCATATTTTTCACATGTTTAGTGCAATGCCATAAACCTTCGATAACACCACGGGACCAATAGGAAGTGACACTACTGACGCTGGAAGTGCTCCCAAGAAGCAGAGAAAAATCATGACATTACAAGAAAAAGTTGAATTGCTTGATATGTACCACAGACTGAGGTCTATAATTGTGGTTGCCTGCCACCTGCCATTTTAAGAAAAATGAATCCAGCATAAGGACCATTGTAAAAAGCAAAAAATTGTAAAGCCACAATCACTGCAGCTACACCAGCAAGCAGAAACCTTGAACTTTTCTTTGTGAAATGCTTTTTTACCTCATGTTGAAAATGCAGCTTTTATGTGAGTGCAGGATTGCTATAAGAAAGACATACCTATAGACTCTAACAAGATTAAAAAAAAAAACCAAAGTCATTATACGACAACTTAAAGCAAACGGAAGGTGAAGGATCTAAAGCTGGAAAATTTAAAGCCAGCAAAGGATGGTTTGATAATTTTAGAAACAAATAAGGCTTTAAAAATGTTGAGATAAGAGGAAAAGCAGCTTCTGCTAACCAAGGGGCAGCAGACAAGTTCCCCTGCCAGTCTTTTGGTTGTACAACAAGAAGGCCTGGATAAGAGGAACCCTTTTTCTGGATTGGTTCCATTGATGCTTTGTCCCTGAAGTCAGGAAGTACTTTGCCTCTAAGAGACGGCCTTTTAAAGTTCTTTTGATATTGGACAATGAGCCCCACGAGTTCAACTCCAAAAGCATCAACTTGCCCCAAACACAACACCTCTAATTTGGCCTCTATATCAGGGGGTTACAATGACAATTTAAGGCTCATTACACACAGTACTCAACGGAAAGGATTGTCAACACTATGGAACAGAATTCTGATAAAGCATTATGAACATCTGGAAGGATTACAGCATTGGAGATGCCATCCCATCATTGTTACAGAAAAAGCAGTGAAAGCCATCAAGCACAAAATACATTCCTGCTGAAGAAAACTATGTCAAGATGCTATACATGACTTCACAGGATTTAAGACAGAGCCAATCAAGGGAATCATGGAAAAGATTATGGATATGGCAAAAAAAAAAAAAAAAAAAATGGGGCCAGGCGTGGTGGTTCACGCCTGTAATCCTAGCACTCTGGGAGGCCGAGGCAGGAGGATCGGAGGATTGCTCAAGGTCAGGAGTTTGAAACCAGCCTGAGCAAGAGAGACACCCTGTCTCTACTAAAAATAGAAATAAATTAATTGGTCAACTAAAATATATAGAGAAAAAAATTAGCCAGACATGGTGGCACATGCCTGTAGTCCCAGCTACTCGGGAGGCTGAGGCAGAAGGATTACTTGAGCCCAGGAGTTTGAGGTTGCTGTGAGCTAGACTGATGCCACAGCACTCTAGCCTGGGCAACAGAGTGAGACTCTGTAAAAAAAAAAAAAAAAAAAAAAAAGGTGGGAGGTAAAGCATTTCAAGATATGATATTGGAGAAATTCAAAAGCTAACAGAAACCAAACCACAGTAATTAACAGAAGACGACTTGATGGAGATGAGTGATTCCCAACCAGTACCAAATGATGAGGCACAAGATGTAGAACAAACAGTACCAGGAAATAAATTGACATTAGACAATCTGGCAAAAGGGTTCTGACTATTCAAGACTGCTTTTGACTTCTTTTATGACATGGACCCTTCTATAATATGGCACTGAAACTAAAGCAAATGGTGGGAAAAGGATTGGTATTGTACAGAAACATTTTTACAGAAATGAGAAAGCAAACAGTTAGATGGAAATTATAATGTATTTCTAAAAAGTTATACCATGTGTGCCTGCCTCTCCTACCTCCCCTTTTCACCTCTTCACCTCTTTCACTCCAGAGAGAGCAAGACCAAACCCTCTTCTTCCCCCTTCTCCTCAGCCTAATCAATATGGAGATAGCAAGGATGAACACCTTTACAATGATCTACTTCCACTTAATTGAATAGCAAATATATTTTCTCTTTTTTAAATTTTTCTTAATACCTTTCTCTTTTCTCTAGCTAATTTTATTATAAGTATATAGCATATAATACATATAACACACAAAAGATGTGTTAATCAACTGTTTATATTATTGGTAAGGTCTTCTGGTAAACAGTAGGGTATTAATAGTTAAGTCTGGGGGAGTCAAAAAGTTGTATGCAGATTTCTGACTACATGGGGGCAGGGCTATCAGCATCCTTAAGGCCCACATTGTTCAATGGTCAACTGTATAGGTCAAAAAGTATGACTAAAACACAAAGAAACCAACACTTTTCCAAACTTCAGATCCTTTTACCTTCAGAATTTCCAAAAGTAAGGTACCTTACTTTCCAACCTTACATTTGCAATAGAAACAGCAAATGACAAGTACTATATACACATAGGAAATGTGAATATGATTCCTGTTAAAACACCTTAATTATTTCTCATTATTTCCTTTTAGGTGCTATCTGTACTGCTCTAAGTAAGCCTCTGTAGACAGTTACAGAGGATGTGTTCTTTTATCTATTATCTGGTCTGACAAACTTTCTCCAAAACAGACTTCTTTAGTGATTTCATTTTCGTTGTATCTTTGTGTCACTATAATTCAAACACTAATAGACAGTCTTTTTATTAAGAACTATTCCTGATTATACATTAGCAGATTTTAGTTCATTATTTGGTGCATCCTTAGTAGGTACACATCTCCTCAGCTTACTCAGCATTGACAATATAACATTATTTGTTTATTTACAAATTAAAAGTGACATTGTTGGCCAGGGAGAGGTAGCTCATGCCTATAATCCTAGCACTCTAGGAGGCTGAGGCGGGTGAATTGTTTGAGCTCAGGAGTTTGAGATCAGCCTGAGCAAGAGTAAGACCCCGTCTCTACTAAAAATAGAAAGAAATTAGCTGGACAACTAAAAATATACAAAAAAATTAGCGGGGCAAGGTGGTGCATACCTGTAGTCCCAGCTACTCGAGAGGCTGAGGCAGGAGGATTGCTTGAGCCCAGGAGTTTCAGGTTGCTGTGAACTAGGCTGACCCCACAGCACTCTAGCCCAGGCAACAGAGTGAGACTGTCTCAAAAAAAAAAATATATATATATATATATACACACACATATATAAATAAAGAGTTTTAGTTAATGGAGGCCTAGATGTCTACAATTATGACAGAGGAAGCATTCAGGGTTACTTATTAATAGTAAACCTACATTTCTTTTTGTTTTTTAATTAGCAACAATCGCGCCTTGGATAAACCGCACTGGCTACAATACTGCCACTGCCCAAAGCTTATAAACCTACATTTCTTATAGTGCTGAGGCTCAGTTTACCAAGGATAAGGAAGGGTCTTTTGGCCTCAAGAATTTCAATTACAACCTTTCTAAGCCCTAGAGTTTCACTAAATTTTCTAAAACAGAAAGAAAAATCTAAAACTTCCAGAAAGAAAGCAAAATGTTTACCCTGGCTTAGCTCTAATTTTAAAGAATGGGTTTTCTCAAAATTACTATCTTTTGACATTTGGTAACTGAATGAATTAAGTAGTTACTCAAAGAACTCAAGACATAAAAACCATAACACAACCACTACTAAAATTTCTCTTTCAGGTGCAAGTACAATTCCATGTGTAGGAGAAATTTAATCAGTCAGATCCCAATTGATTAGGGCCCTAATTATCAAACATGCTTTCTCCTTATGAAATTGTCAAAATTCACTAGCTTAAACCTGCTAACAGTACTCCCATGAG